GACCTAGTACAGTGCCTTGTATATGTTAAACACAGTGAAAATTTATAGAAATGAATTTGTATGCTCTGAAAGTAAGAGAAAATAAGTGTGCTGTCTCTCTCAGGTTCCTCTCTAACATGATCAAGATGGACAATGTTCACTTTGACATTAAAATAAAATCTTATTCATGCTTATTGACTCACAAGCCTTAATGAGATGTAAATTAGGGAATTCTGATTATAGTTACCCTCTTTGATAATATAAAGTGAATATTTGGTCAGGTGGTAAAAGATCACATGCAGGAAGTATGTATATGATAATATTTGCATTAGGTAGGGGTGAGGAAAACATATTGGCTGGAGATACAAGGAAGCTTACCCTAGATAAAAACCTGAGCAGTCAACATTTCTCCACAGGCAACTTCTTTAATGTTATCCTCACATTTCCTGTGAATTGTTAGATTTATATCAATTTTGGATATAAGTACATTTTTCCCATATACTGAAGTTGTGGAAGAGCTAAACTCTAGAGTCACCTATCCAAAGGTTAGGGGTTTTCTTAACAGGAACTTGGATAAAAGGAATTAGAAAAAAGCCAGAGGTTCTGGAATATAAAAATTTCTGGCTGACGACTAGTTGCAGTTTTTATTTAAAGCTGATTTAAAGAGGTCAATTTTCCTCATATGAAACAAGAGCCATCTTTCTCTCTTAGAGGAAGAATGGCCACCATTGTTCAACAAGGCAAGAAAGGATAGTTTACCTAGAGAATCTTTCCCAAATAAGGCAATGGTGGTATCTCAGGAAGAGCATTGAGTGGGGAGCCAAATATTCTGGGTTCCAATCCAGCCACTGCCACTACATAGCTGTGGAACTTTTGTCAGGTTGCTTAAACTTTCAAGCCTCAGTTTCTGCAGCTGTGAAGTGAGGGCTTCAATGTCTAAGTTCTAAGTTTTAAGTATATTTAGTATACTAGTATGTTAGTATATTAAGTTTTAAGTATATATTTAGATATTTAACAAGAGGCAGCCTGGCATAGTGAATAGAGAACTAGCCTTGGAGTCAGAAAGACCTGAATTTGAGTCTGGCCTCTTCACCATATTTGCTGTGTAACCCTGGACAAGTCACTTAAGCTTTCAGGCAACTAAGGCTATAAATTGCAGACATGGTGCAGACCTGGACCTGCTTTAATAAGGCAGTTTCTCATTGGCAGCTTTCTAGAGCAATCTAGCTAGAGATCTGATTTAATAAAGTAGATATTCACTAAGGCAGTAGGAGGATCAGTTCCAATTTTTCTATTTTTAGTGTCGGACCATGCTTTAAGAAACAGTTTTCTTTACCTTCTACTACAATAAACTCCAATAAATCCAGAACCTACTGAAGCAATGAATAAAAGTTTCTATTTGTGCAGCTTTAAGTGAGTTATTTAAATATGTAAGATGGGATATTCATCCAGGATATTCATTAACTCAGTCTTTTGACTTACTGATAAGGGTTTTTTTTTTTACTTGTTTCTGGTGCTTTGACTCCTTTTCCCATTTTTACATAAAACAAGAAATTTTAACACAAGCGGTGAGTTTTTGAAAAGTCTCTATCAAGTGCTACTTCACATTCTTCCCTCAATTAGTATCTTTTAAACTTTATACATCAATAGTAATAGACAAGAAAGCAGCAGGAGCTATATTTCTCCCACAGTTCTCCATATATTTATAATTAAAAATTCTGCAAACTTTTCTGCAGGTAAAGTATAATAGCTACATTCCTATAATAGCTATAAAGTATAACAGCAATGGACAATAATTTGACTTTATCCCCTTACACGTTTTTTGATTCAACTGGTTTGTGCATGTCCACACACATGTCTCATTCACAGGTTCAGAGTTTTTGTTGGTAACAAACTTAGCCTAAAGAGAAAGACTAGCTACTTGGACCTCATGCAACCTATTAGAAACAAGTTATATTCATGACATTCCACTTAGTGATTTTGACTTTGAGAAAAGCACTAAGATGATTAATTAAAGAGCCCCAGTTTTCATTTTAACCATAAGGTCAATAACCATTGTCATGCTGGATCATTTGTGTCCAAAAATAATTCACTGAATAAATGTGGAAGGCACAGCCTTTCTATGTGAGTGTAAGATAACATGACAATTGAAGTTCATCACTCAGAATAAAAAAGGCAATTAAGGGCTCCAGGCGGCTGTGTTCCAGATGATATGGCACAGCAAGGAAATTCAACAGTTTCCTAAAGTTGGTGTTATACTCTCTAGTGAGGTTTTTGTTTTTTTCAAGGCAGCTATTTACAAGTGTTCAGCAAGGACAAAACCTGCAAACTTTTTTTATTTGTATTAATACCTGTTCTAACCATAGAAAAATATAGTTTATGCATGGTTTCCATTGGAAATAGTATGAAATTAAATGAAGGGAAAGTATGTAGCAGTGCCATAATTTAATTCAATTCTATTTTTAGATTTGAAAAGGGAGCGCTTAGGAAAATTATTTCCATACTTTTAGCTCAAGACAACAGCATATCAGAGAGCAGCTGAGGTGTCATGAAAGGAACAAGAATAAGGCAACCCAGGCTGGAGTCCTTGTTTTGCCATTTGCTGACTGTGTAGCCTTGGAGAAGTCACTTAACATCCTTAAACCCCAGGTTTCCTGTCCATAATATGGAAATAATAATACTTGCATTACTTAACAGACAGAGTAAACAGGCGGCCAAATAAGATGTATGCAAACACATTGCAAGTTCCAAAAAAGCCATATATGAATCTGAGTCATTATTAGCTAAATCAGGCAAATAACGATGTTTGCCAGACATGGTAAAGTAAACTTCTTTTTAATCCATAATGCTTATCTCTGGGCCTGCTGGTGAGTCTTTCTTCTCCTTGCTGCTTCTAGGACAGTTGCTCCAGCTGCTGCACTCCTACAGGGAGGACACTCACTTGGAGTGGTGAACACTTTTCTTCACAGTTACCAGGATCAAGGTCAGAGTAGGTCGATGTTTTTCAGGGAGAAAGGGAAAGCACCATTGGGCAGGTGCTTAATGACCTGCTTGTTAGCAGTGACAGGATTTCGAGTGAAGTGGGTGCACAACAAAGTGAGAAGTGATCAGTTAAACAGCAGTGAAGATGTTATCTTTCTGTGTTGCATTTACAATCAGCAAAGAGATTTTACTCATGAAGCAAAAAGAGGTGAGTGACCAGAGAACTTCACCTTCCTGGCCTCTCTCTCCCTGCCCCCACCTAGGTGTCTGTGAACGCTGTGGAGCTATGTTAGAGCTTTTCTCACTCACCAGGGAAATCTGCCGCAGGTAGAAAATGGAGCTGTCCAGCACTTGTTCAGGCCTGGGAGTCCCTGTAACTCAGCTACAGGGCTCTTTTCCTAAAGAAAGAATCTCGTTACCCACCCAAGTTTAAGGCCCCAGTTTTGGCTCCATACTTACCGGGCTCTTCCTCCAGCAGGATGAAGTACTGACTGGAGAACAGTCTAGTCCCTGGCACAGGTTCTTGCCGGGAGTTGGGCCAACGTGTTTGTTCCCTTCTCCCTTCCCCTGGGGTTTTCCAATTTTAGGGGCGGCAGGTGACTACTGGGAATGTGGAGGTATCTTAAACTGAATAACAGCTCTTCCTTCTGCTTCTGCACTCACCTGTTAAGTGTGGCAGGAAGACTGGAGAAAGGGCAAAGGTCTACTCAAATGTCCATTCACTTCTCAATGAATCTTGTCGCCATCCAACTTTAATCTCACACTAAATACTCCTCGTCTTGCCCCAAGTGAAGTGTTTTCCAAGTCTTTTCAGTTCCTCTCACTCAATCCAAGGGAGATCATCCCATGGGGCTTTCTTTCTGACGTCTCGAAATGGGGGGAAGGTTGTGTCAGAGGTTTGCTACAGTGACTTTCCACCTATCTCCGTTCTACATTCTCCCCCGCCTCCCCCATTACTTCTTTCCATGCCCTTTCCAGGAGTTAACTCTACTCCAGGCAACAGCCTCCCCATAACTGGGAATCCAGGCATCTGGGAATGGTTGAGTCAAGAGAAAACTGGGTGTGGGGTCGTTTTATATCCCATTCATCTTGAGCTCTGCACCCCGCCCCCTCGTATCCCCTATTCCAGCCTATCCAGCTGGGAGGGGAAAGGAGGAAAGCAGAGTTAAGCACCGGGGGGTTAGGGGGGAGTGTCCTCATTGCTTCTGAAATGTGGCGACAAGCTAGGGAAAGACTCCAAATGAGTCTGATGGAGACACGTGATACCGGTGGAAGGAGGGGGGAGAGAGAATAAGGGAGGGATGGGGGTGGGGAATGGAGGAGGAGGAGATGATAAAAAGAGAAGGAAGGGGGAGAGTAAGAAGAGAGAAGGGAGGAGAAAGAAGGAAAAAACGGAGGGGAGACAGAAAAAAAGGGAGACAGAGGGGTAGCAGAAGCGTCTCCTTTCAAAATCACAAGGTCCCCCAACCTCCTCCCGCCCCTTCTCTCTCACACACGCACGCATACACAGGAGCGCGCGCAATACACACACACACACACACACACACACACACACACACACACACTCTCACACTCACACACTCACATACATACACTCACCCACCGCCCGCCCGCCCCCCTCCCCGAGAGCGCAGCGCAGCCGGGTAGAAGATGCGCTGAGGCTAGAGGCAGCAGCGGCCGTGGTGGCGGCAGCGGGAGCCGCGGCGGAGGCGGGAGCGGGAGCGGGAGCAGCAGGAAAACCCAGCTCCGGCAGCCGCCGCCACAGCCAGAGCCGAGGTACTACTGAGCTACCAGAAGGGGGAAGGTGGCCAGGACGCCTGAAGTTCCCGCCATGAGCAGCCGATTCGTGGGGCTCCGCGGCCCCAGGAGTTCCTACCCGTCTGAGCCCGCTGGTAGCTCCGCGCGGCCGCGGCACATCTAGTTCTGCCAGCCCGGCTCCCGGTTCCCGGCGCCACCCGGCGCCTCCGCCGCCGCCACTGCCACTGCCGCCGCTGCCGCGCTCTCGACACGCTTCTGCACAGCGCCTTGACCATCGCCGCAGAGGCAGCGGCAGTAGCAGCATGTCTCGGAGGAAGATTTCTTCCGAGTCCTTCAGCTCCTTGGGATCGGACTATCTAGAGACCAGCCCAGAGGAGGAGAGCGAATGTCCCCTGTCTAAGCTCTGCTGGAACGGCAGCCGGAGCCCTCCCGGCCCTCAGGAGCCCGATGCAGTTGCTACCGCCACGGCTGCCACGGGCACTGCCACCGCTACGGCCACTGCCACAGCGACCGCAGGGGCTAGGCGTGCACAGCGCCGGAGACGGGTCAACCTGGATTCTCTGGGCGAAAGCATCAGCCGCCTGACGGCGCCCACGGTGAGCGCCTGGCAGCAGAAGGTTGGGGGGCGGGGGAAAAGGGAGGGAGTTGGGCACAGGGAAGTGGGGAAAGTTGGCTGTGGCGGGGGTCAGAGAAGGGATGAAGCTCAATGGGACAAGCTTGGCCACTGGAGGGGGCAGTAGGACCTTTCACCCTGACGCACTTCTTTGGTCACCTTTGCATCGCTCTTCATCCCTCCCAATTTAACAGCTCTTAATTTTGAAAAGATGGGGTGATACGGATTCAGGGAACATGATAATTGTCTTCTTGTCTCTCATTAGGCTCTTGGGCTATGTCTTTGCATCCCTTTTGAGATCTGTCACCTCAAGAGTTTGGTGCCCCTGTTCTCCACCTTCTGCCACATCTCTGACATTCCAGAGCATCCTCTGTTTTATCACCCCCCCCTTAACTTTCTGAGCTTTTCCTTAACTACTTCCTTCATCCAAGCCTTCATTCTCCCTCCATTACTCACTTAATTTCCCTACTGTTAAACATTCCTTTGTTAACATTCCCATTGTTAAACATTGCTCTCCTGGAAATCTTTTTACTACTCTTTACCATCCTATTTTACCACATAGACTACCTTCTGTTTTCTGAATCTCACACCTATATTTCAGGTTGCCTTATTTCCCCAGATTGTCACTAACCTCCCACCAAAATTACTTTTAAGAGTTGGCACTTGTCCTGGAAACCCCTTATTAACCTATCCATATCTCTGCCCACCTTCCCAGTTCTTATCCAGTTGGAGACTCAGTGATGCATCTTTCTCACTCCTTGGTCCCATTTCTGGTTCATTCCCCAAATCTTCTGATTCATTTTATGTCTTTTCCTTATTCGTTCCACTTCCATTCCTTTCATTCTCTTATGACTTTCCCCCCATGTCTCCCTGGATATGTCCTATATCTCCCTATTTTCAGATTCCTCTTTCATCTCAAATTTACATCAGATCCCCCTGGTCCTTGAAATTCTTAAAAAATCAATTCAACACTTATTAAGAGTCTTCTTTCTTGGTCGGGGCCCTTTTCTTTCCGAGTTTACTACCCCTTATCCATACTTTCTCATAGGGAGATACTCTAGATCATTGTCTGGATAACAATACCTCCTGAGCTGTATAGTTTCTCCTACTGTGTCCACTCTTAAAAAACCCACTCTGATGCAGCTAGACTGTGTGAGAGAGAAAAACAGAGAGAATGGGGGGGGGAGAGAGAGATCACCACTCTGTTTCCTTGAGCCCCTTGAATGCTCTATTCAGTCTCTCCTCTTTTTCTCCCTAATAATTGGCTCATTGTTATGTTGGCCTTGATCACAGACCAGGCTTCTGACTCAAAGAACTTCTCCCTGCTGCCCAAGTACATGCAGTTGCTTTAGAAGGCTCCTGAGTGTCCATAAGAAACCTGAAAACAACTTGGCTGCATTTAAGACTCCCTTCGGAAGGATGGGTAGCTCTGGGATTTGGATATCTGGTCTGGTGCAGTGGAATATTGGGGTATCAGGGTTTCATATATCGTCTAGATTGGACAGGAGTCCAGGCTTCTGGGAATTCATTATGGAAATCTAAGCAGTGGGAAATAATGAAGAACTATTAGAAACTTTTGTTTCAAATCTATGAAAATGCCTCTCCCCCCTTTTCCTGTTTTTTTCCTTTTTCTCTTAATTGAAGTCACTTCTACTTCAGAATGGAAAGCTTAGGCATAAAATCTAAGCAAGGTTATTTTCTCCTCCAGAATGTGTTGAATGAAGTAAGTGTACTCTTCTCAAATGGGAACATCAGCTTGGTAGTGCACAGCCTTGGGGGGCGATGTTATGTCACAAATCACAAAGTGGATGCCCTGAGAAAAGAGAAAAAAGTGTAAGATACACGTATAGCAACATGTACTTCTGTGATTTATGCTAGTACAAGGAGGGGGACAAGAGCAGCATTTGTTTCCTTTATACACTCTTCATAGAAGAGGTTTTAAATTTCCACAAAAGAAATAGATTTTTGATACAGTGATTTTGCTGTCATTTTGATTAAGATGAATGTCTGGCTTTGTTCGAAAGCATTTTGCCTCTCCACAGTCATCCCAGATTGCTTAGGAAGCAGGAATTTACAAAAGACTCAAAAGTAAGCCAAGGCACTCTTACCTAAAACCACTTAAACAACTTCTTTGAGGTGTGGAGAAATCAAATATTTAACACATGAATAAGAACCAATGGGAACCTTTAGAATTCATGAGTGAATGGCATTCATTGATGTCGATATAAATATATGTACCAAATAGGAAATCTTTAGTATCAGAATGTTTCTAAAATACAGGTTTTTATGTGTGATTATTTCATTTGTGATTTAGTTTTGTTTTGTATTAACAGATGTTTAGCAGCCATTTAAAGTCTAGTTTGGAACATTAAGGCCTTTTGAGTAATGGCCTAATCAGTACTAGTTGGCCAAAGGTGTCCCTGTCAGAGCCATTAAAGCACAGTCACTGAATGCATTAGTTGTGAAGTTGCTTTGGTTTTGCTACTCACTCTCCCCCATTCCCCTCAATTTCTTATTGCTCTGCAAGCTGGAATGCATTGTGCCAAAAAGTTCCATTGAAAATATTAATGAGAAAAAGCATACAACAATTTCATTTACCGACTCAGACAGAAAACAACCTCTCTGAATACACCTGAGAGGCTAACAGAAATCCTAGGCATTTCTCTCTTTGTGCAATTGAGTATTCCAATGCTGCTGAATAATATTGATAGCCACCTCACTTTTAGTTTTGGATTTACACTAGGGACTGATGTGGTGGCACTTTTGGCAGTCTTTCATAGTATATTTTAGGACAATCGGTGGTAGGCTCGGGTAAACTATTTTCTTCCTCTAAAGGATCCATACTGAAGAAAGCAAGTAGGTAAAAGGACAAGAGTTTAATTAGGAGATACGATAATTGAAAGCGGTTAATATTAGTGGATGATTCAGCAACATTTTATTTTTATTCCCAGGAGAGAATCTTGTAGATTTTTCACGAAAGATATTTTAGTGGCTTAGATTTTCATGGCACTTTTCAGTACACCAAGTATTTTCTCATTCTTCATTTCCTTGCCCTTTTGAGGTAGATAGGTCAGGTGTTGTTATCTTCAGTTTATAGAAGAGAAAACTGAACTGACCACGATCAGTTTGTTATTACTAATATGCACCACGGTGTAGTGGAAAGAACACAGGGCTTGCAGGCAGGAAGACAGTGACAATTCCTGTCTTTCATTTATTAGCTGTGTGATCAGGGAATTCACCAATCCTCTCCAAATCTCAGTCTCTTCATCTATTAAATGGAGGCAATATTATCTGTAGTCTCTAACTCACAGGATCTTTGTGAGGCTCATGTATAATATCCTAGGTGTAGTGCTTTAGAAGTGTTAGTCATTGTTATTTAATTAACTAGAGAAACATTCAACGTCAGCACTTTTCACTTATTTTTGTAATATGATCTTAGCTGTTAGAATTATTAAAGGGGTGATCATAAATATAACATTTCCACAAGTAAAATGACCAACAGAATATATGTTCTACAGTGGGCAATGGGTCAGTAGGATCATCTTCATAGATGATGGATAGCATAATTTTGAAAGTTTTAACTCTTTTAAAAAAGATTGCCATATTGGTGTGCTAACTGATACATTCTCTATCTCATCTAGGAAATAAGTAGGCAGGTATATCATCCTCATTTTGTAGAGAAGGAAATTGAGGCACTGTGGAGTTAAATGATTCTTCCAAGGTTACACAGCTAGCTCATGATGGGTTCAGGTCTTCCAACTCCTAGTCTTACACCATACTATCTTCCACTAAAATAATACTATCTCAGTTATTTCAATACCTCCAAGATTTTGACTATTTTATTTTAAGGGAAACTCCCTTGAGGGAGAGCATGAAAAGACAGGTGGCACAGTGGACTGGGTGCTGGACCTGGAGTCAGAAAGACTTCAGTTCAAGTGCAGCCTCAGACACTTACTAGCTGTGTAACCCTGGGCAAAGCATTTAAGCTCTGTCTGCCTCAGTTTCCTCATTTGTAAAATAAGAATAATAGCACCTACCTTCCATGGCTATAGTGAGAATAAAATGAGAAAATATTTGTAAAATACCTTGCAAATCTTAAAGCAATATGTAAATGCTAGTGATGGTGATGATGATGATGATGATTGTGGTGGTGGTGATGATGAAAAATCCTATAGTTATACAAGTAACCTGTTCTTTATTTATCATGATTCCATGGGGCACAGCTATTATCATCACCATCTTTGTCATCATCATTCCCATAAAAAATCCTACAGGGCTGAATTAAAAAATGAAAACTGAATTAGAAGTTATTTAATTTAAAATAATTTAATGCTTGAGAACACATATGGAGAAACAGCTGGGCTTTTCACATCTAGAGTGAATTTAGTAACTCATTTATTCTTGAATTTTTTTCTTACAACTTGAGGAACTTAGAACATTGGCATTAGACATCAGTTTTAGGTTTGTCCTACAGGGTCAGCTGGCTACTGAGAGATGTTTCATGAGATCAGAAAAGGTTTATTAGGCATTCCTTGCAAGAGAAGAACTAATAGCGTTTTGGGTACAATACTGCCTAAAGCAGAAGGATTTGGGAAGCATCAGAGAGGAGATCTGCAGAAATAGAAGGATCATAATAGGATGACTGCCAGGTTGATCAGGTAAAGATGTTGAGAGACAAAACCCATAGAGAACATTCAAGAAGGAGAGATGAAAGGGAATTAGTATTCAAGGGGCAAAAGGGTCCAGTATTTAGGAAAGGCAAGTTGCATTTCTTCAAGTCAAAAATGGAAAGAGAGAATAAATAAGGAGGAGGAATAAATAAAATCATATTTAGCCTCTTCTAATACTAAATATGAATAGATGAATGCCACCTAGAAAAGTAATATAACAAGCATAGAAGTAAGGAAAAACTAATTAAAAAAACACAAACGTATTAGCTTATTTTAATGTATATTTAAAGTAAGTCTAGCTTGCTTTTTATTA